TAATGTGAAAGAGCTGAAATATGGTAGTGTCAAGAAACAATATTATGATTAATGTATGATGGGAGTTACTGAGTTAATAGAAACTGATTTGAACGGCATAGAAAAAGAAACACTACTAGAGTCTATGCTAGAAAACAAACTGAAAGTGAGAAGCGCAATAAACTGCTGGTCATGGCCTCCGGTGCTTGAACCTTATTTCCCTCTTTGGGGCCCAAGGCCATGTTTCTTTGCTCTAAAATCGTCAATATTTGACCTACGAATCTGAAATTTCTTGACTTTTCCTAATTTGACCCCCTGCCTGACCACCCCAAATTTTGTTACTCTCACGTGCTTGGTTTACTCACCCCGGAATGCGTCCCCTGAATTTTGAGATTTATATCTTTGGGGTTCATTTGGACCCCCTAATAAATAGAGTGAAAATATGATGAAACCACTCATTTCTTACTTTGGGGTTCCCATAGGAATTTCTATACTGCTGTCGCATTTTGGCTTTTGGTGTTGTAAAAACGTATTCCTGCTACATGTATAACAACTTGCTCTTTTTACCCATACTTGAATTCTAGAAATCAAAATTAATCTTCAAATCAGAATTTCAAGAAAATACATATATATGTCAATATCAAACAGTAACACTATTAACAAAAGCATAAGAGTGCTTTACACCATTCCCTCCCACAGGCAGGCTCTAATCTATGATGTCTAGAAGTTTCAGATGAAGTCTATACATATGTAATGGGGCATTACACTTTGAGTAAATGAAGTTAGCAGGATTGAATGGCTCACTACTCTTATACTTATATTGAATGGATTTGAAAAGAAGAAGAAAAAGAATCACGTAGTCTGCTGTGGAAGATAAACACTGTGAAACACTTTCTTGGGGACATAAGAGACAGGGAGCTATAAAAGTAGCATCTTTGTGATTTATATTTGTATTGTTGGTAATAATTAACATGGTTGCAATTTTGTAAAACATAAATTCAGATAAAAATAAAATATTAAGATATATTACACGTATATATAGCTTTATACCGTATTATAACTTTTCCGTGCTCCTTGCAAACAAATATGTTGTTGTTGTTGTTGTTGTTGTTGTTGTTGTTGTTGTTGTTTTCAAATCCCTTTAGCTGCGAGCATTTCGCTCTGGCAACGCAATGCCTCCCTCAAGTAACCACATGTCCTTGTCATCTGGTCAACGCCAGAGTAGAGCAGGCTTTGTAAGTCTGCAGGTGTGAGTAGGAGCCTGTGTCGAAGAACTGCCATGTTCGGGCAGTAAAGGAGAAGATGTTCAACGGTCTCCTCGTGGTAGTCTCAGTGTCTGCAATGGGGTTCCCACATGGGGTTAATTCTGTTTAGAATGTGCTTGTTGGTAAGTAAGTGTCCTGTGCGCACTCTGAAGATCAAAGTCTGATCGGCTCAACATAAAAGTTTAGAAGGGTCTTTGGGGTTGGGATTGTCCATGTACCCGAAGAGAGATCTTCCTGTTTCTGCGTTGGCCCATCTGTTTAGCCACTGAGGATGGATCCGTATCCAGCATTCCGTGTAGCGTTTGTTGCTGACCCATTTGTGTATGCATGAATAGGGGTTTCAGCATACGAGTCCACTGTCTCCAGGGCACTAGTTCTGAGGGTTTCTTCTGGTGAGGTCTTGTCACAAGAAGGGTCTAGAAGTCTCGTCCTTATTGTGATTTCTGGTGCCTGCCAATAAGGAGGTTCGATGCTGATGTTGATGATTGGTTCTCTTTTCTCATGTGGGTCAAACTCCTCAAGTAGTTTTGTTGCTTCTCGCATGAAGAAGGTCTTTTGGATGCGTGTTCTTGGTTCTCACTCATCTGCCATTTTTCTGTTTTCGTTCGTGTCTTCTAGTCGCACAAATCTTTCGTAGGTTTCAAGTGAAGCACTCCTTCTTCTGAGGTTCAGTGGTTCTATGTGGGTGTGGATTTTGCAGCGCAGCTCGCAGGCGCTTGTAGGCGTGGTCTTCATCGCACCAGAAACAAATCTGGGTGCTTGGTTCTATACTCTGTCAAGCTGTGCCAAAGAGCCTTGGCTGGCTATGGATTGTAGTGGTAGGGAGTAGTCAATCACAGATCTGACATACCCTATATAAAGTTGTCGGAGGGTTGCTTTGTCAGCTCCCCAGTTGAATGATGAAAGGTGTTTCAGAAGGATTAGTCTGGAGATGGCTTTCTTGGTCAGCTCCCCTAAGTGCTCTTTGAGAGACAGCTTTCAGTCCAGTTGTACACCAAGGTACTTGGGATAGTCCTCATGTTTGACATTGGTTCCATTGATCTTAAGGTTTACCTGACCTGCTGTAACCTTGTTTTTGAGGCTGAAGAGTCCAAAAACAGTCTTGTCTGTGTTGATCTCCATCTTCCATAGCTGGCAGTAGGAAGAGATAGTAGTCAGGTCCGCGTTGACGGCTTGGTTCAGTGCTCTCATGTCACTTCCTTTGCTTTAGATGAGCAAGTCGTCAGCGTAGAATGCTTTCTGGCAGGAGATGACATCTGGCAAGTCGTTCATGAACAACAGGAAGAGGGGACAGCTGAGTGCTGACCCCTGTGGGAGGCATTCCTTGAGGGTCCTCTGTGAAGAAATCTTGCTGTCACATGACGTCTGGGTAGTTCTGCAAGACAGAAAGTTCTTGATCCAACTCTACAGCCTTCCTGCTCTCCCAAGCTTTTGCATTTTGTAGAACAGTCCCTGTCTCCACACACGGTCATACGCCTGCCTCAGGTCAATGGAGACAGCCACAACATTGTCTTTATCTTGAAAGGCATCACTGGTCTTCTGGGCAAATCTGATGAGGTGGTCCATAGTTCTTTTGCCTTTCCTGAATACTGCCTGTGATGTGCTGATTGTGCCGGTGTTTTCCATCCACCAGTACAGTCTGTCGTTGATCATTCTCTCGACGACCTTACCCAGGCATGATGTTAAAGAGATTGGTCTATAGCTTGAAGGCTGGCTTGCTGGTTTATCCTTCTTCAGTATTAGTGTGATGTTTGCCTTCTTCAATTCTGTTGGGAGCTGTCCCTCATTCCAGGCCCTGTTGAAGAAGTCCAGGAGTATGGAGAGGGAAGAATCTGTCAGGTTGAGGTTCATCTCATTGGTGATGCGGTCTGGTCCTGAGGCCTTTCTCCTTTTACACTTTTGAGGGCTGCCTTCAATTCCGTCAGAGTAAACTCCTTCTCAAACACCTGAGTTCAGATTGCTCACATCTTATTGCTCATTTGCCATTGCTTCATCATAGCTCCACTTTTTAAGATACAGTACAATCTTTATGAAGGAGGAAAACATACCATCATTGCAATCCTCAATTGGGCTGTCAGCAAGTGTATCAGGACCCAAATAAAAATAAGTAGGCCTACTCTGGTTATCTATTACTTGAGGTTCCAGTCTAACAAAATAATGCAATTAAATTGTGGTGTTTGTTGATGTTCATTTGTTTGTAAAAAATGTACTAAAAAGAGTCAACAAATGGATAATTTGATAGACATAATGAGAAAACAAAAGATTATAGATAAAACATCAGGGGTCTTTTTGGACGCCAAAGGTAAAAATAGATATTTTCCATTACATGCATCCCAAGACGGAATATGACAAGACGGGACAACTCTTCTTTACGTCATGTGACAAGCGCAGGCCCCTCCCACTTTTGCTGCTGCGCGTATAACCAGAGAGTTTACAGTAATACGTTTCGTGGAGAAACGCGCGGAAAACAAAACAAACTGCGCCCATTGTTCAAGGCATTTTCGTAGATCTAGATCGCAGACAAGCATGGCCCCGGTTATCACGAGATGTCAATGATGTTCTGCTCTTAACTGCAACTTTCAAAATCAAAATCTGAGGAAGGTGGTACAGATTCTTTTAAACTCTTTATCATTATTGCTTTATGTGCTTTTCCACGATCTGAAATAGTGAGAATTTAATATATAATGTGTGTGTGTGTGTGTGTGTGCGTGTGTGTGTATGTGTGTGTGTGTATGTGTGTGTGTGTGTG